AAATCACTCACAGAGAGGAAAAACTGTAGAACAAAAAAACACTCTTTCAAGGAAAACCAACAAAGATTCAGGACAAAGGCAAAGACTGAGTATCAAAATAATGTAAAGCAAGGCAAAAAATGTAACACAGAATTCAAAACCTGACTTGGGATAAGGTGGCTGGTGTGGTTCTCTGACAAGACGACAAGACGAACTGGCACAGGACGAAGGGAAACGCAGACTATATACACACACAAGGTAATGGGAAACAGGTGGAAACAATCAGGGCGGGGCAGACAATCAGACCAGTGGGAAACACACAAGGGAAAGGAGAAAGTTACCTGAAATGAGAGGAATAAAATAAAAGAATAAAACAAGAAGTCACGAGACAGACAAAACTAAACATAACTTAACGTTTCTTCTTGGACATGACAGTCTGTACAGTTGACAGGACTGCTCCTCATCAGATGACTCAGTTAACTACTTCTGATTGGATTCCACCATACCAAACTCACGACATCTCTGATCTTGATGAAGACTCTGACATTGTGGTGGAAATGATTATAATTTTCCTACCTATGTTGCTTGCACTTATTATATAGGATGCTTATGTCATACTGAGTACTATGTGTTGTGTTGCTGTCTGCAGTGGAAATCATTTTTTGTTGTGTTTGAGTATTTTGTTTATTTATATGCATGTTCAATGTTTATTTACATGTTTGTGTTTAGTTGCTTTCTTTAGTTATTATTTTGAGTGCAACATTTTCTTAGTTTGAGTGTATTGACATGCATGTTTAAGTTAATTGACACAGGTGAACACAATGGAGACAGTGATTGCAGACATGGACTGACATCTGCTTCAGCCAATCAACGGCTACAAGCTGGCCACACCGGCCAATGGTGACTCAGGGGAGGGTTTCTCTCCATCTATATAGACAGAGCAGCAGGTTGGACTCCAAGTTTTTCTTTGGACTGAGCCCACACACCTTACAAGTAGTGGAGGATCCCCATGCAGGCCAGAGGGCAGACACAGTAGTGTATTGGAGGCTTTTGGATGCGAGTGGCAGAGGCAAGAGTTTCTGCTTAAAGCTGGTAGATTGCTGGCTACGTTCTTTTGTTCCAGGACCAGTGGATGTTACCTGGAGGTGTCGAGTCAGCAGAGGGGGCCTTGGCGAGGGGAGAAAGCAGGCCGGACGACTGAGACTAGCAGTGCACTGGAGGCCTTTGAACGCAGTTGGCAGAGGCAGGAGCTTCTGCCCAAAGCTGTGAGTTCCCTATAACCAGTTCACTGTCTGTTGGTGAGGTTGCTTGTATTGACATAACCCTGTCTATGAAGTTCAGACTGCTGGCTATTTTTCTTGGTTCCAGGAGTGGAGAAGAGGGACCCTTGGTGGTGTGGGTTTGACCAATGTCAAATGGATAGAGGGCGCTAGAGCAAGGACTGGGAGTACGACAGTGACTGATTATTTTAAGACTGTTAACTTGCCTTTTCTTTTAAAGACCTTCCCCCAATTTGGAGACATTTGCTACCATAAGTTTTATCCTTGTACATATCTTTGTACAATAAATAGTTATTGTTGCAGCCTCCGTATTGTGGTTCATCAAGTACTGCTCACCCTCGTATCAAAGAACACAAGTTACCTTATTGGTGGTTTGTTTCTTATAAAATTCTAACAACTTTATTTCACCGCCACCTTCCTACACTTACATCCACAAAAACAGCATCTTACCTTGCCCAGAGTAATGTTTTTATGAAGTAATATTTTTAATCATAATTGAGGTGACAGTACAGATGTTTTTTAGTTGTTTTTTTTTATCACTGCTAATTACTTTCTTATTATGTTACTGTATGTAAAGATGATTACTTGCTAAGAAAATGTCATCTTTTATGATGATTTTTCCTTTAATAAATGATCAAGTATGATCAAAAGGGAGGGAAAGTAATAGAAAAATCACATTTTGTACTTTGTATGACCTAGGACATAAATCTATTCTCACATTTATGCTCCTTATCTGGTGCTGTCTGGTATAAACTAAGGAGATGCTTGTCTTTGAAGATGCAGCTGCTTCTCCTTGACAGTTTGACAGTTTTGATGGCACCCAAAATTGTACACACACACATCCTGACTCTGCCTCCTCTATGCTTTTCTCTATAAAGTTGTTACATAGTATTGGATTCTGTTTTATTTTGGTGTTTCCTGTTGATCCTGCTGCTCATTCCTCTAGGTGGATCGCCTGATTGACACACAGCTGTGCTGACTAGTGGGCTGAGTCTATTTAGGCCAGCCCTTTGTTTTGGCTCTCTCTCTCTCCCTCCTCTTGCACCTTTGTGGTGCAAGGTATCTGTTTTCTTTTTCAGTATCACCCATCTTTTTTCAATAAACTTTAAAGTAGTAAATTTCTATCTATCGATCTATCTAGTGAACTGCTCTGTGAGGACACCTGCGCTGTGACTTTTAGCATCAATCAAATGCAAAATGCAACTCAGTTGAAGTGTCACACACACAGCTGGAGACACAGATACACACGCAGCTCTGTCTCTCCTCACAGGACTCAGTGACTGCTCTTAAAGAGGACATGAAACACTTAGTGAAGTTCACATAATTTACAAGCCATATAACCCCTCTAATCATCCTCACATGTTTAACATCTGTCAGTTTAACTGGATTAAAAATAATAATCTAAATTACAGTTTTCTGACATGTGTAGCGCCATCTTGTCCTGGCGTAGAGCTTGACGTAATTTGGTTGGTTCCGGTGAACATGCTAAAGTGTGTACATATGGTAATCAGTGACAGGATGAGTGACAGTGCTCGTATGACAGACTCAATGGAGAATAAGAAAAACCAAACTAAAAAGTGAATGGGGGGGGTACTTCTGTATTGCCCCTGGATGCAGCAATGAATTTTATGGAGTTCAAAACAAAGGAAAGATTGTCTATTTTTATCTTTACCTCTTAAACGGCAAGTGCTGGTTCGTCGTTGGCTAGCTGCACTGAAACGAGTGAATCCTCCGGTTAGCCGTAATGCTAGGGTTTGCAGTGAGCACTTTGTAAACGAGGACTATGTGGAGAAGATGAGTTTTGAATCCAGTGTCCTAGTCGCTTGCCGCACCAACAGGCTGAAACCCGAGGCTGTGCCGTCTGTGTTTAACTTCTCTTCTTACAAGACAGGCTGTACAGACATTCCCACCCCCTGTACTAGCTAGGATGTAGCTGTGCGCCGTAAGGAAAGGGCTCAACGGCACAGGCATCTGGCAGAACAGAGAGAGGTGCGCACAATTATGAATGATGACAGGGGAAACAGCTTAAAAAAACAGATCCTCGAATTTTAATTGAATAAAAGTCATCATGATATGAAAAAACTTTTTTTTTTTTTTTTGCCTCTACATAGATCGTACTCATTCTTCTTAGTTTTACTACTTTTCCACTTGTCATCCAGCTCTGATATTGCACAGTGCATTATTTATATGGACTAAACTATGAATTTTTTTTTAAGTCTGTCAGTGTGATGAGCCACAAAGGCAAAAAACATGTCATCTCAAGCACCACGTTGTGTTGCCGGCCCGCACCTCCTGGAACCACTTGCTGCTGCTGCTCCTCCTCCTCCTCCTCTAAATGATTAAAGTGGCTTTGTGCACTTTCTCTGCTTCTCCTCCTCACCGGCTCGAAAGCATATGCCATAGGGGTTCGATTAATGTCAGTTAAAGTCTGCTCTGCTTCGTCTTCGGCCATTTTTCGTCGCTTTTCACCGTAGCTGAATGCATGGAATCCCCACACACCAACCTAATGACGTAGCGTGTGACGAAAAGGCAATATGGTGGCAAACCAGAGCGAAGGCATAAGTTAACATGGATAATAAATCTTTAATAACTTAGCGTGTAATTGTTTTATATCCAAATTTTTTTCAAAATATATTCTAGCACACTTTATTATGTATAAAAACTTGTAAAATTTGAATGTTTCATGTCCTCTTTAATACTGCTAACACTACCACTGCTTCAACTGCTTTTAACGCCATACGCACATAACAGACACCATTATGAGTAAGTAAATAACAAGAAAAAGTAAATGACATTTACTGAAGTACAGTTACAAAATGCTTCTTTTTTACTTGAGTATTTCCATCTTTTGCTACTTTATACTTTGACTCCACTACATACTGTATGTGGGAGAAACATCAGTATTTTTAGACAGGTCTTCTAACTCAAATGACCATAGAGATTGTCTGTCCCTCTGTACCCTCTGGTACAACCTATATGGAAACCTATGGAAAAGGTTTGGTTAGGTTTAGGCATAAAATCAACTTGGTTAGGTTTAGGGAAAGATAATGACTGAGGTTAAGGTCATAGAACAGTCATGACTATGGTAAGGGGAAACCAACTTTGTGTTCACCCTTTCACCACAACCTCCTGATGCGGACTCTGTCACTCTATAACATAACCTCATAGCTCCACTAAAACATCAGTATTAATCAACCAGCAAGATTAAAATGATGTTTGTATATTATTGTTCTCATATTTTGATATGTGTTGTATTTTTCATATCAGGGTTAGGGTCATTTTGATCTGGATTTTCAGAAAACTTGAATTTACAGACTCTCTGTACACTATATACATGATATTATCCTCAGTCAAATACATGATTTGTATTTTTTTTAAATATCTGTAGAAAAAATGTGTCTAGTGCTGCAGCTCTAAAGGCCTTTTTGAGGAAGTATAGAGTACCATCCCATGAAGTGTAATGTGACAAATAAATACTTATGATGGCAAATTTTATTTCTCATTTCATATAAGACAAATTCAGTTCATTTCTTAGTTTGATACAAAATGTTGCACAGTATTGTTTCTAAACTGTGAAGCTTTACCATCAGTATTGGAGACATTATGTTTCTACATTTACAGAAACAAAAAGGTTGAATAGTTCAGTTCATTAACTTTATTTTTTGTAATTATAATAAAATGCACAGTAGTGCATTAGAATACTTAAAGGTCTGATCAAATTAAACAAATCTGTTAGACGACTTAATTGCCTACGTTTGACATCAGATTTTTACCTATGACACGGATTTTGGACAGATTAAGTCCATACATTACAGGGTTGAAGAGCGGCTGGCATGTGAGGAAGTATAATGATAAGAATATACGCAGCATACTGGGGAAACTCTTCATATTAAACCTGCTCTGTATTAATTCAAAACTAGCCCCAACAGAAAAGTTGAATATGGAAGCAAGGTGAGGTGTGCAGGTGCTGACAGCTTTTTGTTTAGTCTGTTTAGAACCAGAAAAACACACTCGAAAAATTTTCATGTATGTGAACATGATAAAAATTAAAGCAACAAACATTGTACCAAAAGAGGCAATAAGCCCATATATATTAGCTGTATGAGCGTCTGAGCATGCAAGTTTAACAATAGAGTGGCCATCACAGTAAACTTTGTAAATGGTGTTTCCACACAGCTGTAAAGAGGAAGTCAAATATATGGCAATACATACAAGCAAAGGATATAACCATGTTACACCAATTAGTGTGGCAATTTTGTTAGACGTCATACGTGTGTTATAATGTAGAGGACAACAGATAGCGAGGTATCTGTCATAAGACATGACGGCTAAGTTTAAATATTCCATACCACCATAAGAGTGCACACAAAACATCTGTAGGAAACAAATTGAAGCAGAAACAGTGTGAATGTCAGAGAGGATCTGAACCAGCAGGAATGGAAACAACCCTGTACTACCATACAGTTCATTTACAAACAGGCTGCACAGAAACAGGTACATGGGTTCATGTAAGCTTCTGTTCAGACAGATAACCACAATCAGCAGAACATTTAAACTGACAATAAAAATGTATAAAAACAGGACAATCATGAAATACAAGTATTTCAAAGTTCCAGTTTGAAAATAGGCAGCAAGTGTGAAATATGAAACCTGTGAAGAGTTCATCATGATCATTTGCACTGGATAATTTTATTTATACAGTTATAGAAGTCAAAGTACTTAAGTTATAACTATTCTATACGTTCATAACAATTCTACTGTGCACACAAAACAATGATTGTGCTACATTTTGTTATACATTTGTAAAAATTTAACTAAATTTAATTCTGTCTTGTTTGGCACAATTGTCAATTTAAACATAAAGCACACATGAACAACAAAAAATAGTGTAGTAATCCTAAACAAATTCATTATGGAAACAGCTGTTTTCTTTTCAAAGTCACTGCAGTGTTTTGCTTACAAGTTTGTAATATTATGTGAGCATTCACCTGATATCCTGCTCTAGTCTTACTGCAAGCCACTCGTAACTGAGCTGAAACTCTGCTTTGACTTCTTTTAAACTTTTAAAGACAGAGGACACCCACAGCTGACGTGTGACCTCATGATGAAAGGAACTCATGTTTAATTTATGTCAACAAAAAAGAAAACTTTGTTCACTTGTTGTTTACACAGACCAATCCCATCCCTAAAGAGAGTTAAAGAAGAGCCTAATTCGAGTACCCATTTTGGATGTTCCTTTCATCCATCATTTTATCCATCCATTCCAAACCCAATTCTCTCACACAAGTCTAACACACAACTGACACAATACAGTGTCTTGACAAACAACCATATACATACTCACAAACCCCCAGCTGAGCTGCTGTGTTGGGGTTCTCTTCTATGCCTCTGGAAGTTGCTAAGAAGAAGGCTCTGACTGTTATCTGTGCTTATGCATCTGACAGCTGTTCAGAGTATCTAGTCTTCTTTAAGTCGACGGGTGGGGTTCTGGAAGGGGCACCATAGTTCTTTTGGGGGACTTCAACCCTCAACCTTCATGTGGGCAATGATGGAGAAGCCTTGAGGGGGTGATTGGGAGATCAGCCTGCATGATCTGAAAACAAGTGGTGTTTTGTTGTTGGACTTCTATGTTAGCCCTGAATTGGCCATAATAACCAGGTTCATAAGTGCACTTTGTACCAGAACATCTTAGGCCTAAGATCAATGATTGACTTTTTGGTTGTATTGTCTGATCTGCAGCTGCATGTCCTAGACACCCGGGTGAAGAAAGGTGCAGAGCTGTCAACTGATGACCACCTAGTGGTGAGTTGGATCAGATGGCGGGTGAAGTGGTCAGAAAGCCCAGGCAAAGTAAAACAAGTTGTGAGGGTGAACAGGAACGCTTGGCCAAGGCCCCTGTCCCTGGGGTCTTTAACTCCCACCTCTGGAAGAGCTTCTCATGCATCTTGGGGGAGGTTACGGATATAAGTATTCACACAACCAATACAGCCTACTTTCATGCCTTTTCATGCATTTCTTTCTCCCTCTGTTGATATGTAGAAGGTTGAAGTGGTATTTTAATACAAAGCCTTAGTTTGTTGTGTTAAAGTTACTGCATTATGTGATGATACAAAGTCAATGATTCCTGCTAAGCATTTAAAATTAAAAGCCCTCATTTCAGTAGGCAGAAAAACTTATTTCTTAACAGGGCTTTTATTGTTGTGTTGCACTAAGTGTATTGTCACATTTCATGCTATTCAAATCTTCTGGGTTCTTTAGCAGTTACCGATAAAGTAAAGTCAAGTCAATTTTTATTTGTATTGCGCCAATTCACAACATAAGTTATCTCAAGGCACTTTCCAAATAGAGCAGGTCTAGACCTTCTCTTTATAATCTTATTTACAGAGACCCAACAATTCTCACCAAGAGCACTAGGAGACAGTGGCAAGGAAAGACTTCCTTTTAAGAGGCAGAAACTTCAAGCAGAACCGGACTCAGGGTGGGCGGGGCCATCTGCCTCGACCGGTTGGGTTGGAGAGATAGAGAGAGCGAGAGAGAGAGCAAGAGAGAACACATAGGAAAAGAACAAGAACGTACAATGATAGCAATATTAATAATAGTGATAGTAGCAGCAGTAACTGCAATAGTAATGTAGTGGCAACTGTAGCGCTCCTACTGATAAAATAGTAATGACAGCTAATAACATTAATAATTATCATTATACTTATAGTAAATTTTAGCAGGTTTAGCAGCAGTTGTTGAACAGGATCATGGGGCAGTAGGTGGTTTGCAGTTGCAGATCCAGACTCTACAGCTGCAGCTCTGGAGGCGGGAGGACATGCGGAGAGTAACAGGAAGGAGATGGAGAAGGAGAAGGGAGAGAGAGAGGCACACAGCCTGGGCGCTTATGTGCTTGAGGGAATAAACAAACGGTAACATGATGCAGTGATTCTCAGAAAGTTTACAGTGATCTCGTCGGCCAGACAACCTGGACTATACTGTACTGAGTATACTGGTTTATTGAGACTGAGGCCCACCTGCACGTACAAAGCCTAAGTTTGTAAAAGAATAAGAAGCTAACTGAAAGTTAAGGCATAAAAATACATTTTAAGTTTAGATTTGAAAGTCTGAACGGAGTCAGACAGTCTGATATCAGCAGGGACGTTGTTCTAGAGCAGATTAGGGTTAGCCCGATAGGCAAAGGCTCTGCAGCCAGCAGACATCTTTTTAACTCTTGGAACAGACAGGAGCCCTTAATGGAGAGTACGAGATAGAGTATAAGGTTTAAGCAGAGCAGACAGGTATGAAGGAGCTAGTCCATTTAGAACCTTATATGCCATCAAAAGCACCTTAAAGTCTGATCTGATATGGACAGGAAGCCAATGAAGTGAGGCTAAAATTGGTGTAATATGGTCAAATTTTCTGGACTTAGTAACAATTCTATTGCAAGCACATGGCAGGCCAGAAAACAAAACGTTACAATAATCAAGTCTTGATGAACAAAAGCATAAATCAAGATTTCAGCATCAGTCTTAGACAGAAAAGACCGAATCCTAGCTATGTTATGTAGATGAAAAAAGGCAGTCTTGGTGATATCTTTAATGTGCTGATCAAAGGAGATGGAAGAATTGAAAGTGACACCCGGATTTTTGGCTGTCAGACTATGAGAAATCACACAGTTATCAAGAGTTTTTGTTACCTGATCAAACTGATGTCTGTGTTGGGTCGGTCCAACTACCAGCATCTCGGTTTTGTCTGAATTTAGGAGCAAAAAATAGACGTCCAGCTTTTCACAGCAGACAAACAGACCTCCAAATTTGTGATCTCAGATGAATCATCAGCCTTTATAGGCACATACAGCTGAGTATCATCAGCATAACAATGGAAATTAATTCCATGACTGCAAATAATTTTACCAAGAGGTGAAATATAGAGAGAGAAAAGCAGAAGGCCAAGAACAGGGCCCTGGGGTATTCCATATCTCACAGCAGAGTATGTCGATATAGTGTTATTATAGGAGATGCACTGTGTTCTGTCAGATAAGTAGGACTTTAACCAAGTGAGGGCCAGGCCAGAAACACTGAATTTGCTTTCAAGTGGGTCCAAGAGAATACAATGATCTATTCTATCAAAAGCTGCACTGAGAGGGGCGTCAAGTGGCGCAGTGGGTTGAGCAGGCACCCCATATGTAGAGGCTACAGTCCTCACTGCAGTCGGCCCCGGTTCGAATCCCGCATTGGACGGCCCTTTACTGCATGTCATTCCCCCTCTCTCTGCCTCCCCATTTCCTGTCTCTCTCTACTGTACTATTTAATAAAGGCATAAAAAGCCCAAAAAAATATACTTAAAAAAAAAGCTGCACTGAGATCCAGCAAGAGGAGCATAGAGGTGGAGTCCGAATCCATGGAGATCAGAAGATCATTTACTACTTTAGTGAGCGCTGTCTCAGTGGAGTGACAGGCCCTTAAAGCAGACTGGAACGGTTCAAAAAGATTGTTAGTAGACAAATGAGACAAAAGCTCCTGAGACACAGCTCTTTCCAGTACTAGAAAGGAAGGTTTGAGATGGATTAATAATTATTTAAGGATCTTGGATCCTGGTGTGGTTTTTTAAGTAAAGGTTTAACCACAGTAGTCTTAAAGCTTCTGGGAACAGTGCCAGAAGTGAATGATAAACGAATAATGTTCAGCACAGAAGGTCCCAGGATTGGCCAGAGGTCTTTGGAGAGCTTAGCTGATAGAGGGTACAGTAGACAGACAGGCTTAGACGAGAACATCAGCTTAGACAGTGCTTCAAAAGACAGAGTCTTGAAATTTAAGTTAACAGGGACTAAATGTAATGGTCTGCTGGTTCTGTAGAACCTGGAGAAGAAGAGGTGATTTTATGTCTAATCTATTTTATTACTGAAAAATTCTAGAAAGTCCGATGACTTCTTTCTTTCCCTTCCTCTCTCCTGCTCTCTTTGCTTGGCGTGTCTTATGTTTAGTCATTCCTCTGCTTCCTTTTTTAATGATGGTATACATAATTCAAGTTGTGTGTTTGCTGTAATGAAGGTGATGCTCAGGGCTCAGTGAGCTGGAAGCTCTACTATTTACTTTAAGTATTATGAAAACATTGCTAAGTCACAAATAGCTCTTTAGAATTTGGCTTCAGAAAAGGTAGCTGTATGGTCAGGTCCCTGAAGTTGAGCCACTTGAGTCTTGTGAGACTTATAGTTGTAATGCATCAACCATGAAGTCCTTGCCAAATAAACATCATATCCCTCTATTGGTTTATTTTGGGGAGATTAACCCTTAATTATCATGCACAAAATTGATTTTACTTCATCTAACCTGGCGGATTATTAAAAATGTTAATGTTTATATTAAGAATTGACCATCAAGCAGTTAATGCACTTTTTATTTAACATGACCAACAGTTTAAACACACGTCTCAGTAAATGATAGGTAAGTAAGTAATGTGCATTGCTCACATACTCCGGTGCACTGGCTACAGTCTCTACCAATATATACACATGGCTTGATCTACTGTCAGCTTCTTCTTGCACAGCTTTCATATGGCTTTGCTATGTCCAGCCCTTCATTGTCTTCATAGTTTTCACCTACCTTTTTCCCCACATTCTCTGGGGAAGATGGAAATAATATCACAAAAGACAAGCAAGCTAAGAAACCAGCATATTCTGTCTGTCTATGATC